AGGCCCCAGGAATGCTGCTCTGACTCACCTGAGCTGCTGATGCTGAAACGGGGGCAGCGGGTGGGGGTGGGGGCGTGAGTGGAATCTCCAGTCCTTGAGGGTTTGACGGGTCCTTTCACCTGCTCCGAGGGGGGGCTGGGAATCGGCATTGTTAACATCACCTTACAGTAAGTGTGTGGCCCACTGAGCTGGCCTACATCTGCTTCCCGCATTGACTCTCCCCAGGAGCAGGCCTGGCTGAGACCAGAACCTCGGGGCCCCTGGGCACAGGGACGTCACTACTTGACAGTGGGGCAGCCTGCTCCACGCTGGCGTGTCTGTGGGAGCTGAAATCTCCCTCCATGCTCAGCCATTGCTCCCGCTTCTCTGCACTGAAGACAAGGGAACCAGTGACAGACACAGCCCCACAGCTCTGAAAGCCGAGACGCCCCCCGTCCCCAGCCCCCTGCATGTTTTCTGGCCTGAACATGCTCAGCAGTTTCCCCAAGGTCCAGGCCCCAACCTCTCCCAGAAGTCTTCCCGGTCCATGCCTCGGTTGGCCCACCCAGGGTGAGGCCCAGACCTGAACTCTGCAAGTCTGACCAGGTCAGAGGGGTCGGGGCCCCCTGGCTGCCCATCAGACCTGAGCCCTACAAAGGTCCTTATAGCTTGACAGGCGAACCACGGCTCCCAGCAGCTCAGTGACTCACATCACGGCTTACACAGCACCAGCCTCTCTATGCAACAGCCATGACAAAAGAAGCCCAGCAAAAGGCAGAAGTTAAACTGAACCACTTCCAGCCCCGGCTGAGCCTTCACCCTCCGGCTTGCGCATCCCTGTTTCTGCTGCACCGGGAACCGGGAAGAACGGATCACGTGTTCGGGGCCCTCTCTGTCCAGCCGGCGCTGCTCCCCCAAAGGGCACTCAGAGCGCCTCTTCAGTTATACAAAGGACACCATTCTCCTCATTTGCAAAACTGTCTCGGAGCCCAGTGTGAATAAGTTAGGTGGTCATCAGATCCCTGGGAGCTCTGGTAGCATAGTGGCTAAGGCACTTGACTGCTAACCAGAAGGCTGGTGGTTCAAACCCACCAGCCACTCCTCGGAAGGAAGGTTGGGCAATCCTACTTCCGTAGTGATACTGCCTCGGAAACCCAAGGAGGGGTCGCTATGAGTCAGGGCTGACTCGACGGCACATAACAACAACAACAACAACATCAGATCCCTAGAATGCGGGTAGACCGCTCCACACCCCTCCGCCATCTCTAGAAGCATGTTCTGCCTCAGAGATGGGGAGGGGGCCGGGAGGGCCTCAGGGCCTGGTCCATTAAGGAAGGGGCTCCGTTCCCTGAAAATGAGGGGGCAGAAATCCAGGCCCCTAGGGCTACCCCCCTACAAGATGCAGGTCTTTGTGCCCGCTCCTCCCTGTCCAGCTCCACAAGTAGGGAGGAGCCTCTCTCGTGGGCTCACCCCAGGACTTCGTCCCCAGGCCCTGAGAGCTCTCCAGCCAGTTCCCCACCCACAGGACAAGGTTCCTGTCCAACGCAGACCAATGCTGTCGGGGTGGAGGCCCAGAATCTGCATTTCCCACCCCCACCCCTCCTCATGGCCATGTCTGCACTCGAGAGACTGCACGGAGTTCAACTCCGGTCGGCACACAGTGAGGGCCTACTGTGTGTCGGGTGCTGTGCCAGGCACTGAGAACGGGAGCTGAAGAAAACGGCCCTGCCTTCAGTCTAGTGGAGAAGACTACACGTAAAACACGTGTGTAATGTATGTGGAACAAATTATTCCCCACAAAATGCAATTCATTTAATAATAGGGCATGGCACGTGACATTGAAGAGTCCCTAGGCAAAGCCTAAGAGAGGGCCCAGCCGAGGGGCATGGGCTCCTGGGTGGTATGCATTCCCTGGTAGTACTTCTATTTTCATTAGGGAGATGGCATGAAGACAACTTCCGAGGGCCTATTTGAGCTAGTGCAATCGGAAAAGGCTTCCTGGAGGAGGCAGCTTTCCAGCTGGTGTCTGAGAATATGGGTAGGCTTGATAGACTAGCGCTAGGGAGGAAGGGGGTCTCGGGGGTCCAGACACTGTGAGCAAAGGCAGGAACACAGGAAAGACCAGGAATGCTAAGTAGCTGGAGTACTAAGGGGAGAAGCAGGAGGCTGGACAGAATAATACAACAAAGAAATCCACGCAGTGCACAGTGCTTCCTACGTGCCGGCCTAGCTCCAACCCACACAGAAACAGACACAGCAGCTGTCTTCAGGTCGCTCCGACCCACAGCGACCCCACGTGTCAGAGGACGTGTGTCCCCACAGGGTTTCCAGTGGCTAGCTTTTCAGAAGGAGATCACCAGGTCTTTTTCCTGATGTGCTTCTGGGGGTGCAGGGGCTCGAACTTCCAATCTTTCTGTAGCAGCCGAGCCCTTAGCCGCGTGCACCACAGGGACTTCTGATCCCTATAAAACCCTGGGAAATCACTATTATCGCTCCCCCGATTTTACAACTGAGGGGCTGGGTCTCAGCAAGGCAGGTAACCTGCCCAGTGGTGCTGTGGGGAGCTAACGGAGCAGGGGAAACTCGACCAGAGAGGGTCAGTGACCTGCCCTGCCTCACCACTGTCTGTGGGTTCCTCGAGGGCTTGAGGCCAGGCTCCTGGCACACCGAGCCCAGCGGCTCCCTGTTACACTGCAAGGTTTGCATAGCAGCACGCTGAGCTGCTTTCCCGGCCTCGTGTCCTGTTGCATCAGCCCACATGCAGCATGGCTGCTCCGGCCACAGTGAGTGACTCACTGCTCCCCACGTCCACGCACCTTCCCACCTCTCGCTTTGGTACGCCCAGTCTCCTCCATGACTCCAGCTGTCCAACGCCCTCCTCCGTCAGCAGCTTGACATCCCCTCCGTTGGGAAGCCTTCCTGGGCCTCTCCCCTCCTTTACCACCCCTCTGCCGTAGCTCATTGCCCCCACCCCTCTTGGCGGTGAGCTCTCTCCCCAGCACCCGATGCGTGCAGGGCCTGACTCAGAGAAGGTTCTCAGTTGACACGAGTGATAACAGATGCCCCCGCATGCTCCGGCCCCTGTCTGTCTCTTCAGCCTCCTCATCCCAACTCTCACCCACCACGCTCCCGCACCACTGTCCTCTCTTCTATTCCATGAGCAGACCAGCTCTTCCCACCACAGGCTGCTTGCATCTGCTGTCCAACCACCAACAGGGAACCTCTTCACCCAGCAGGCTCCTTCCCACCCTTCAGGTCTGAGCTCCAAAGTCACTTCCTCCAAGAGGCCTGCCCACATCTCACTGTTCATTCCATTACCTGTTTACTTCTGTCATCGTCCTCACCAGTCTTACCTCAAGGCTCACACTGCCTGAGTCTCTGTCCTGCTCTATTACTTATCAGCTGTGGGTCCTTAGGGAAACTACTTAGCCTTTCTGTGCCTCAGTTTTCTTCCCTATAAATGGGAATGCTATTGCAGAGAGAAGATAAAGGGACTGTGTTAGCTAATGCATAGATGTGTCCAGAGCAGCTCTGGGCCATGGTGAGCCCTAGCCAGTTGCCATCAAGTTGATTGTGACTCAGGATGACCCCGTATGTGTCAGAGTAGAGCTGTGCTCCACAGAGGTTTCAGTGCCCACTCCCCACCCCTGGAAGGAGACCACCAGGACTTCATTCCAAGGTGCCTCTGGGTGGACCAGTCAACCTTCCTCCAATTAAGTAATGGCTGACGGCATTACCCACCTGCACCTAGTAAGCCCTGCATATGTATTACACAAATGTTAGTTCTTACTATTACTGCTTAATTGCTTCGTGCTTATCTCACATAGTGAGTAAGGCATTTGGCTGCTAACCAGAAGGTCAGTGGTTCAAACCCACCAGCCACTCCATGGGAGGAAGATGAGGCAATCTATTGCTGTAAAGATTTACAGCCTTGGAAACCCAATGGGGTTGCTATGGGATCAACTTGATGGCAGTGGGATTTTTTGGTATCTTCTGCCACTGGAATGGAAGTTTCAGAAAGGTAGGGACTGTGTCTGAATTATTCAGCACTCTCTTCCCAGTCAGGAGCTCTGGTGGTACAGTGGTTAAAGCATTCAGCTGCTAACAAAAAGGCTGGTGGTTTGAACCCACCAGCTACTCTGCAGGAGAAAGATGTGGCAGTCTGCTTGTAAAGGTGTACAGACTGGGAAATTCTATGAGACAGTTCTACTTTGTCCTCTGGGGTCACTATGAGTCAGAATCAACTTGATGGCAGCGGGTTCAGCTTTTTGGATATTCGCAGTACCTACCAAAATTGCAGGCACACAGTAGGCTGTTAACAAGTATTTGTTATATGGATGGGATAGATACACGGACGGATGCAGCAAAAAGAAGATGTCACTCAGTCCAGCACTCATACCTTGCTACGCTCCTCTCTCTGAATCTGAAGAGAAGCTGACACTGGTGTGTCCTACCTACACCAGACCATACATTCATGGGTGGGCACTCAATGGCATATAAAATCTTCCTGTGCAAAGAGTCAGTAATAGTCCAGGAGCCCCAGGAAAGGCTGAATCCCAAAGAAAGGACGTGAGGCAGTCTTAGTGGACAAAAAGGAATTTAAGTGGGGTGCGGTGATTCAGCATGGAGTGAATAAAGGGCCATTCTGGCTAAGGGAAGAGCGAGATCAAGGTGCTGAGGCCTGAAGGGGAGAGGCGTTGTCTGGAGGGGCCACAGCGCAGAGTGAGAGGCTCCGACAGGAGACAATGCTGGGCAGACATGGAAGGCCCTGAAAGCCAGGCTAGGGAGTCAGGGCTGGGCCACCAACGGTTTTTAAATACAGGGTGGAATCAAGGCTGCCCACGTGAGTTCAGGCCAGAGCAGGCAACCCTGGAGGTGGGAGCCCCCAGGCTGTGCGATCATCCGGGGAGAACCCAAGAGGCCTAATCCATCCACTGAGGGACCACGTGGGAGAACCATTTCTACAAAAGATTTGTGACCAATCAGCGACGGTTCCCAAATAGGAAGCGGCCAGGCCTTACCTGCACCAGATTCCAGCCTTGGAGGGACTCTGCGATGATGGACGTGACCGACGGACAGACGCCTCCAAACACCATCAAGTGGTTCGGCCCGTATTTTATTGCGTCGTAGAAGGCCTTCAAGCCTTTTGCATTGTCACACTGGGGAGCAACACACAGAAAGAGAAGGTCCAGATTAGAAACCGCTCTCCTCAGGGCATTTACACCAACAGAGCTTTCCTCACGGGAGACCTTCTGGGTCTCCTTCTCCCGTGGTGGGTGGGGCCTGAGCTGTGAATTCAGCGCAATGGGACCCATCCTCCTTCCCCTAAAAACAAAACTAAACAAAACATTAAAAACCCCAAACCAGTTGCCATGGAGTCAGTTCTGACTCACGGTGACGCCACGTGTAAAAAGCACAACTTGCAATAGGGTTTTCAAGGCTGTGACTTTGCACATGCACAATGTCAGGCCTTCCTTCCAAGATACATCTGGGGGGTTCAAACCACCAACCTTCTGGTTGCTGATCGCTTGTTTAACCGATTGTGCCACCCAGAAAGTCCATCCTTCCTTGATGTGCCCACCAAGTCTATGACTTCCAGCCCCCCTATTTATTTTCCCCCAAAAGCACATTGAAAAACAGCCCCCAACATGCCTTCCCTTGGGGTCTCCCCATTCCAGAGGCATTTCTATTTCAAAAGATGACGAATCCGATGGGAAAACTCATTTGGCAATCACTTGTCCAGCCCTCCTCTGGACTCAGGGCTGGGAACATAAAAGACAGACAAAGCCCCTGCCAAGGAGCTTACATTTTGCAGAAGAAACTGAGTTAGACCACGACCACCCAGCACGGAAACAGAAATGGGACAAATGCCCACGACACGTCAGGAGTCAGTCCGGGCTCACTCCTGCCTCTCCTCTCCTCCTCTCTCACTCAAGCCACCTGGGCAGCTCTCCCCTGGACAGTGGCACTGCCTCCTAACTGGGCCACCTAAACCCATTCGGCACCTAGCAGTCTAAGAGTCCTTTGTAAAACAGAAATTCGTTCTCCTCACTCCCTGCTTTCCATACACTCAGTGTGTAAACTTCTACCGAGTACAGTTCTCCAAAGGTTAAAAACATAGCACCAATAGTTAGTGAGCATATATATGTGAGAACTTTATTAACTCTCTACTAAGGGGCTCCAGAAGGAGCTCAGGTGGTGGGGTTCATAGGCATTTGGCTGCTAACCAGAAGGTCAGTGGTTCAAGCCCACCAACCACTCTGCCAGAGGAAGATGAGGTAATTTACTTCCATAAACATTTACCACCTTGGAAACCCAATGGGGATCACCATGAGTCAGAATCGACTCAATGGCAGTGGGTTTAGTTTTTAAAAGGGGATCTGCCACAGGGCAGAGGAGATTCAAAAGAGGATTTGAGAAACAGACTTTTACAGTGAATAAAAAAGTAAGATAGGATTGCTAAATTATTTGGAGTGGTTGATGTCCTACAGGGGCAATGAAACCATAACCTTTAAGGCTAGAAAAGAAAATCACTGACAACCATCACATCTCATTAGCTTTACAGAACCGTAAAGTGTCTGGGACTTGATCCATTGCTCAAAATTCTGTCCCCAGAGTCGGATGGCTTTTAGGCAGGTCCGTTAGAAAGCATTCGCAGTGTTCGGCTGACTGGTCAGCTGCATTACTTTCTGTTATTTACAAGTAGGGGATAATGATCGTTTTCCGAACAGGCTTCATCTTGATCGACTTGAGCTACCACCCGGTCCTGCCCTGCCCACCACTCTGGCCCCGTGGCCTCCCCTCTGCCCGCTCACCAAGAGCAGCCTCACAGCCTCACAGCCTCCTCTCTGTTCCGCAGTCCCCTCCTGCCCCTGGACAGTGGCACTTGCTGTTTTCTTTGCCCTTTGCTCCTGCCGTGACTCACTCCTTCTCAGCACTCGGGCTTCACAGTCCTTCTATCCAAAATGGTTCTCACCTGCCACTCTCCAATACATCAGCTTTGTAACGTCCTAACGTTGTTTCTGAAACCACCTTGCCTGTTTGTGCTGGCCTGAACACTGCCTGACCGCAACTAGAGTACAAGCCCCACGAGGGCCGGGTTCTGTGTCTGTTTTTCACTGCGTCTCCGTCTCCGCAGAGCCGAGCCCAGCGCCTCAGCAAGGACTGCAGAGTGCCTGCCTGAAGCCCCTTCTAACTCTCCCTTGGTGTGCTTCCTTCCCCCTACTCCAGTCTCTCTCCCCGGTTAGTCTCCCCTTTCTGTTTCCTCTCTCTCTTCCACCCCTCCTCCTAGTGGCCATAATGGGGATCAGACTTGGTTCCAGTTAGTTGCTCTCTCCTCATTGTTTCCCAGGAACCCCTCTGGACTGCAGCCCGAGGTGGGCAGGTGCCAACAGGAACAGAAAAATGAGGGTGGTCCAGTTTCTGCCTCAGTAACTCACTGCCTGTAGACATAATGGGACTTGAACATGGCCATTACCATGTGCTGGGCAGTGCTCAGAGCTGTTGGAGAGAGGCAGACCCAGGCTGCAGAGCCCCAGAGGGAGAGCCAGGGAGGACTCTGGGGAGGGGCATCTGAGGTGGGAATTGCTGGTGGAGGAGCAGCATGAATGAAGGCAAGGACTTGGGAAAGTGACAGGGCGACAGGCGCCTCCCAGCTCATGCCACCTACTAGGGAGGAGGACAAGGCAGTCTGGGCCAAGGTCAAAGGGGGCTTGAAACACCAGGCTAAGGAGTTCGTGATGTATCTTGTGGATGTTTGGGAAAGAAATGAATTTAAAATTTAATTTAGAAATTGTTGTTGTTACGTGCCTTTGAGTCGGACCCGACTCATAGTGATCCCTCCATGGGTTTCTGAGGCAGTATCACTACGGAAGTAGATTGCCCAACCGTCCTTCTGAGGAGTGGCTGGTGGATTTGAACTGCCAGCCTTCTGGTTAGCAGTCAAGTGCCTTCGGCACTACGCCACCAGAGCTCCCGGAAATTGTTGTTAGGTGTTGTCAAGTTGATTCTGATTCAAGGCAACCCTATGTGCAACAGAATGAAACACTGCCCGGTCCTCTTCAGAAATTGGCCAAGTTTATGTTTTTGCCATGGAAGAACAGGAGAGAGAGGGAAGGAGGGAGGGAGGGAGGGAGAGGAAGAAAGAAAGAGAAGGGAAGGAAGGAAATGGAACGGAGGGGAGGGGAGGGGAGGGGAGGGGAGGGAAGGTTAGCCTCTCATTGCTTCTTGGGCCACTGTTAATTATCCCTGCTCCTTGATGGAAAGCAACACTTCCTACCCTCAGTGGAGCACCAGCGGATATCACAGAGCAGTTCATGTTTAATTGTTTCCACCATGATTTACTGAATCATTTCCTGTCTTAATGCAGTCCTGCCATGATGTTACCTTGTTTCCTAACGCTGCATTAATGACAATGGTAACACAGTATCACAAGACTTAGAGACAATGTTGCATTAAAGTAATACTAGCAACAATGAACCTGTTAGCATTTGTTTGCTCACCAACCTTTTCTCATGAACCTAGTAAGCACATTTCTGTATTCATACTGATGTCCTGGTTTCTTACAAACACAGAACTTTTGACTATGTCAATTCAAAAAACTGAGACAATCTGACAGCCAGTATTGGAGCTGGAAGAACCTTAGAGATCTGCCATCCCAACATCCCCAAGTATCCTCTGACAGCTTCCAGCAGGCTGGGTGTTATAGGCAGAATTTTGGGCCCCATGAATATGTTGATACATGGCAAAAGGGACTCTGCAGATGTAATTAAGGCTACTGATCAGCTGACCTTAACCCTTTCATGACCCATGGGACATATATCACCCTCCACCATTTTCAGCCTCAAGTTTCCTGGGAAGCTGCTATCCCACTTGTAGTACATGCTATTACTTGGCAGTGGCCTTATAACTATATGAATCTGAAGCAATGGGCCTCACACCACCAATCCTATCACCAGAGTCCACTTGGGACAAATGTGTCCCACAAATTGTATCAAGATCTATAATACCTCAATTTTTTCCCCTTTGATTTTAGCATGCCTTCCATTACTGCAAACACAATGAAAAATTCAAAGTAGAAAATAATTTGGTCATGGAAGGTTTAAAATAGGGCAGCAATCCTGGACTCTCCTGGTGGGCCCTGTGGAATTGAGAAAGCCCTTAAAAGCAGAGCCCTTGCTTTGGCTGCAGGAAAAGGGGAAGTCAGACATTTGAAGCTTCAGAAGAACTGGATGGACCTCCATTGGCTTCGGGATGAAGGCAGTCAAGTGTCAAGGACAGGGGGACTTCAGTCCCAAGTCCCAAGAAGCTGAATTCTTCCAACCTCTTGAATGGGTTTGGAGTTGGAATCTCGCCCAGAGCCTCCAGATAACAGTCCTGCCCAGCTGACACCTTGATTCAGCCTTGTGAGGCCCTGAGCGGAGAACCCAGTTGAGTCACACTGTGCCAGGGCTTCTGACCCACAGGGCTGAGGGATAATAAACGGCTGTCGTTTTAAGCCCCTGAATTGTGGTAATCTTTTACAGCAGCAAAAGAAAACAAACACACTGGGGTAAAATGAAAACAGTAGGACCAATATAGTAGGTTTTCCTTACAGGTGAATGGACTCCACTGAAAGCACTATCTATCATTTACGGACAGGGTCCTTTATCGTTTGCATGGAGACCTGGGTTTATTTGCAGCTGATGCATCTTATACACACACAGCCATTGCACTACCACCCATCTGTCAGGGAGGCTTGTATATTTCTACGTGCTGAACAGGTTTCCAGACTAAGATGGACTAGGAAGAAAGGTCTGGTGATGAGCTTCCAATAGTCAGTGAAAGCCTTACAGGTCACAGCGGTGCAAGCACAGCTCATCACAGGGACGGGGCAGGACCGAGCGCAACTCGCTTCATTGCACACGGGGTCACCACGGGCCAGGGCCCACTCAATGGCAGCTAACATCACCACCCACACATGGGGAAATGTTTCTTTCATAAAACAATGGTATATTTTTGTTTTTAACGACAAAATAAAAAAATACATACTTTCTAGTGCACCTGTCCCATCGTTCCTGGTGTATGAAATCTGAACATCTGAGCATCACTAATATAGCCCTGCACCTCTATTTTCCAGACCAGTGAAGGGAAGGGACTTCCCCACTGTCCTCCCAGGATT